AGATTAGACTTTATTGATCGACGGCAGGAACATTTGTGCGTTACCTCAGCTCAGGTAGAGATAGCAGAAGAAAATAGAAATAAAATATAAACAACTACAAAATAAATAAGATAATACACTATATACAACAGTAGCATACACAGTGTGTGACTATGGATAGAGTGTTGTGGAAATGCAAGAAATACATTTAATTATTTTTACATTACTATTACTATTTAAGCAATAGATATCTAAAAGTATCTATAAGTATAGACATGTACTTGCACACACATCTACACACTAAATATACACATGTATACATATACATACACATATACCTGCACACCAGGTAAATGTCCAGTGACTCATGACAGCGTGATTGAGGAGTTATAGAGTCTAACTGCTGTTGGGATCAAGGATCTGCTCAGCTCACAGACTCATGCAGAGGATGATGTGGGATGTTCGTGATGGATGTCAGCTTTACTAGCATTTTTAGCACACGATCAAAGTTTCTGTGGATGCTTGAAAAATCTTGAAGAACATTGAATTCACTGAAGGTTTTAAAAATAATGCTGTAATCAGTTTCGTTACAGTTGCAGTGTTGTCTTCTGCTACTGTAGGCCACAGCAGCAGACAACAACACAGGTTGAGTAAGTGGGAGTGGGTGTTTTCAGACACAGAAGAACAACTTTAGATTAATCAAATAAAAATGTATTCAGTCAGCTTTCCAAATGTGAATGTTTCAGTTGTCTGTGAGTAGGAACTCAACTCTAATAAACTATAAGTTTAGTTAACTATAAAAATTGTATGCTTGTTTGCAAAGCGTGATGTGTTTCTGCATCTTCACAGAGTTTCTCTCAGTTTGTGGTCGAGAGTCCTCCAAATGTAAGCATCGAACCAGAGCTAGAATTTGGCTGCTTAATCTCTATTTCACTTCCTGGATGCTGTTTCTGTTTTCCATCAGGGTCGTTCTCATGCTTTCTATTCTGATGTAAAGTAACTGGAGGAAAGCAGCTCCCCAGAACAACGATTTGTCTCCAGACATTGGCCACCTCCACCATAGCAGATAACCAGGAGTGCTCCAAGGATCAGGAAACACTGGGGACTTAAAAAATGCTAAAATTATTTCAGAGTAAAGTTAATATAAAACGTCAAACACTGTGTGCTTCCTAGTCAGTGAGATTTAAATTTGATCCCTCTTTGTTTATTGTATGTTGTATGTTTATTATTAAACATACTTGACCAATGTACGGTGCAGTTAAATGACATCAGTCAAATACAAAACCACATATCAGACAAGCAAACCATTGAATCAACACGAATCACTTATTTATATTGGTTATTATCAGTAATAATGGAAAAATAAAGGTGTGTTTGGTGTCACAGGTGATTGG